CAGGGGGGAGCGGGCGGGGGCGGGACGGGACCGGACGGCGCGGGGAGCGCGGAGCCCCGACCCGGTCCGGTCCGGTGTCCGGCCCGGAATGCGCCGCAGCGCTCGGGAACATGGGCCGGCAGAGCCCGCCGCGCAACGGCGTCGGCGGCCACGGTACGGGCTGGGCCGGGCCCGGCGGGCGGGGGGCGGTGGTTCCGCTGAGGGGGCGGGGGCTGGAGCGCCCCCTGCGGGCGCGGCGGCGCCCCCTGGCGCCCCGGCGGGAGCGGCCGGGGGTCCCGGGGGTCCCGGCACCGAGCGGAGGGTCCGGCCCGCCCTGCGGCTGTGCGGCCGCGGCGCGGTTGATGCCCGAGGGCGGTCCCCGGCAGTGGCCGAGGGCTTGGCGGCCAGACGTGGCGAGGCCGTGTGTCGGTGCCCGGTGCCTGCAGCGGTGCAGAAACACCGACGGACTCGTCTGGGTTTTAGACCGCCCTCACCATGCGTTTGTGTCTGTTTTTCCTAGGGTGAACCCGCGAGTTAGTGTCTTGTGGTTGCATAAAACATTTTTTGCAGCGCGCTGGTTTTGGTAATACTCGCAGCTATTGTCCCTTGTGTGTTTGAAAAGTGTAAATATTGCGGTCTTTATTAGTAAGTTTGAGAGGAGGAGCCCGCAAGGTGTGCTTCTTCCTTCCCACTACTCCTCAAGTTCTTTGTGTGTGAACAGTTCTTCCTCCCGTAGGCTTTGTCTCCTCCTTCCCGAGGCATCGGTATGTGACAGCCCAGGAGTGCGAGTGGCAGGATCAGGAGCAGCTGGGGTAGGGAACTGGCTGGGAATAGGGAACCGGCTCAGCAGAGCTGGCTCCTGTTGTGCAAATAACTCTGCTTGCACAAGGGGCCGGAAAGGAAATAAAAGAAACTGTAGTCACTGTGTGAGCGATAGGACATTTAATGTTCCCAGGACCTTGGAATTCGGAGGGAGGTGGAGCTCTGTCGTAGGTTGTTACAGCTTGTTTTGATCCAAGAAGTGTTTTAAAAGGGTCTTTGAGAAGGAACAGCATCCACCGCTCGACCTACTTAGCGTCCGTGTGTGTGAGCAGCCTGCCGACCTGCTGGTTCCCTCAGAGCTGGCTGAGAGCTGCACTTCCAGCCGGAGCTGGCAGGGACGGGCCGGGGCAGTGGCTGAGGTGCCACGTGGGCAGAGGAACGAGCTCCCCTGCCTCTTCCGGGAGGGCAGGCCTTGGGAAACAGCTGTTTCTCCATCGAAATCCTTTTCATTCCTCCCACCCCAAATCCTATTTGGACACGTCCCTTATAGAGCGAATCCTCTTCGGATCCCAAGAGTTGTTGCATCTATGGGAAAAGCCTTTAGGGAAAGGCAGTGTTTGTGGCCTCATCCTGCACTCCAGTCCCACAGCTGCTCAGCAAAGCCTCCTTACTGGGAACTCCTCCAGTGTGGGATATCGAGTGGCTCTCGGCTGCTTCTCTCTTTCCTCACATGAGGCAGCGGTGACAAATTCCACCATGTGGTGTGAAGTAGTGTCTCTTCTCCGCTGCCTGGGAAGCACTCTGGTGTCCTGTAAGTGTGTCTAACCCGAGCACTGTGTGCTTTGTGTGATACCCCTTCCCTCCCTGCCCCGAGTTCCTGTGCTCCTCAAAACAGTGGGAATTATTTCCTACTGGCTGAGCTGTGTGTGTACTGATGGCTGGCAGGTTTGTGTTTGTTGTAGGACAAGTCTATGTGCTTATGATTCTTTAACTCTGGTATAATTATGTCCTTTCTTGTGTCTGTTGCTGTCAGTGGAAATACTCAGGCTTCTTCCTAGGACGGCTGCACCGGGGAGTCGGTAGGAACACAGTTTTGGGAACACTTTCCTAACCTTTTTTTGAACACTTTCCTAAGTCCTGGTCTTAGGAAACGCTTGACATCTGAGCTGGTAGTTGCATCAGAGAGCAAAGAGTTTCAGGGTGGCTTTGCAGGGCTGGAGCCGTGAGCCGTTGGGAAGGACAGGAGCCAGGGGCTCTGTCTGGGCACTGGTGGTGGCTCCGGTGTCAGGAGGAGCAGCATTTGCCCCCCACAGTGGGACCCCCAGGATAGGGAATTAGTGAGAGTGCCCTTTGAGGTGCCCCCAATGCTGAGCCTGCAGAAATGGGGACACTCAGCTGGAGGGGTCCCCACCAGCGTCATCCCTGTCCTGGCAGTGTGGTGACCGTCCTGTGTCATCTCCCCTGTGTGTGTGACACCACTGTGAGTGCCTATTGCTGGCCCCCACTGTGTGCTGTCACTGCCTGCCAGCTCATGTCTCTGTGACCTTTTGCAGACTTTGATGTTAAGAAGAAGAGGAAAGTGGCAGAGATTTACCGGGCTCTGAACAGCGACCCCATCGACGTGGCAGCGCTGAGGCGGATGGCGATCAGCAAGGGCGGGCTGCTCACGGACGAGATCCGCTGCAAAGTGTGGCCAAAGCTGCTCAGCGTCAACACAGACGACCTGCCCCCTCTTCCAGGTGTGCAACAGCCTGGCTCGGCTGCTTGGGAGGGACGGCTCAGTGAACTTTGTCCCTAGAGGAGGGACGTGCTTTCTGACCTGCCTTTTCCCTCTGTGTGTTGTATTTCCCACTAAGCTCATGTACAAAGGGGATTCACTACAGCACCAATACTGTGTTGTATGTAAACAGTACATGACTTCTAAAAACAACATTTGTTGTTTTCTTTAGTGATAGTCGTGGAATCAGTTCATTGTGGATGCAGTCAGCGTGGCTCTGAGCATTAGCTGACATATGTAAGTTCACCTGCAGTAGAAAGAATCAGACTTGATTTGTTTTGCTCCCATGAAGAGGTGGCTGTGCTGAGCCCTGGTGTGGCCAAAATTCTCCTGATGTGTCTCTCCCAGGCAGCAGTTTGTTGTGTGAAGCTCATGAGTTTTTTTGGTCAGAACAGGCACAGGGACAACAGCCTTCCTGGTGAAGTATCCACATGGTTTTGAAACCTTAGCAATGCAGGAGCTCTAGGTCCTGTGGCTTTAGAGTCCCCCCCAGACAGATTTTGTTGTTATTCCTGATTCTGTGATGGTTTGGAAACATGCATCCCCCACCTCAGTCCAGAGCCAGGTGGCATTAGGGTGATGTGAGGTGGCCAGAGCTGCTGCAAGACAAGGTTTAACTTTACATGATGGCATAGAAGGAATTTGCTGGCTCACTGTACTTTTCTGTTTCTTTAACTGTCTTAGCTAACCCTGGGTGAGATTTTCCTCTGAATTGTTTCTATTTTATAAATGATTCTTTATGGTCTCCACAGCACTCCTCAGTGCTGCTGCTGAGTACACTTTGAATTGCACAGCAAAACTGTGTAGCAGAGATGTTTGTAGGAGTGCTGGGAGTGCTGCTGTCAGTTTAAGCATTTTAAAATGTGTTTTCTAAAGAAATAATTGTCTCATTTGCTGTTAGTGTCAGAGTGTGTGGCAGTGAAAGTGCAGGGACAGGACTGAAGTGTGACATGAAAAGAGATATACAGTGGAGTAGGCGATGTGTGCAGCTTCATGTCCACATTCAGCAGGGATCTTCCCAGCTCCCTCAGCTCACTCTCTCCCCACCA